GCTTTCTCTTGGATTGCTCATTCCAGGGAAAGCCAGCCTCCATGTTGTGAGGATGCTCAAGCAGTGCTTGGAGAGGCCCATGTGAGAAGGAACTGAGTCCTCCTGCCAACAACCAGCACTATGGAGTAAGCCATTTTGGAACAGATCCTTTAGCCCTTGCCAAGCCTTCAGAAACTGCAGCCCAGCTGACATCTTGATTGCAATGTGGAGAGATTCCAATCCAGAACCATTCAACAAACCTACTTCTGCCTACTTCTGAATTCCTGACCCATAGAAGCTATGACATAATAAATGTTTATTATTTTAAGCTACTATGTTTGGGGGTACTTTGTCAAACAGTAATAGAAAACTAATACAGGAATTAATTAGACAGAAAAGATCTTTACCCTACCCTTATGGAGATTATAGTCTAGGAGATGGGAGTAGACAAAAATAATTACAACAAATGAATGAATAAGTATAGAGTATGATAAGTGCTACTAAAGAAACAAGCAGGGTACTGAGCTCAGACGAAGTTGTATGATGAATGGGCTCCTTTAGCTACAGTAGGTAGGGAACACCCTCTGAGGAGCTGATAATTAAGCAGACACTGAAAACAAATGCTCCTGTAGGAGCCACCTGCACCCTGATACAGAAGCTCTACCTTAAGGATGACTGAGCCTGCCTACCTGCCCTCGACTACTCATCTCTAATTTTCTTCATTATTCAAACCTTTTGATTTAGCATAAAACTTACCTGTCTTCATGGATTTAAATGTAGCAAATACCACCTGGACATTAGCATTCTGCTTTATTCCTTTAAGCTGTGGTTCATTCTGACTCGGCTGCCTTCTACGCCCCATTTTGGGTTCAGACTGCTCTTCCTACTCTTCATCATATAGTTGAAGTAGGTGAGGGTCTCTCACACACAACTGTTTGTAAAGTAGCAGCTGACAGTGTTTGCTAACTGTGCTTTATTGAAACCTGGACTGGTCTCCAACTTACAATGTCAATTATAACAAGGTAGAGAAACAAACTTTTGCTTTGGTATTGGGGGTCTCTTGATTGCAATTGCTTAGCTGGTCCTCCACCTGAAACAGGGAGGCTGGCACCATCTCATCATGTAGGATCTGGAAAGCAACGGTTTGGGGTTATTTATTTTTTTTCTTCTAACAGCAGTGGGAAAGTCATTGGATGGTTTTAGGCAGCAAAGCAAAATGATCTCATTTATTCTTTAAAAAATTCACTCTAGTTATTCCCTGGGTCTGGGTTCTCCAAGTCTCAGATTTCTAATTTTTAAAACAGGATTCTGAGACAGAATTTTCCACCCTGCTTATCCCCACAAAAGGCTCTCCTTTCCAGGCTAAACATTCCAGTTCTTTTAACCATCCTCCACACAGTTTGCTTGGTTATTCTCTACCAAATTTACATATAGTCACATTCTCTGGATTTGAGACACTTCGAACCTAGCCCAACACTCTCTCCAACGTGGGGTAGAGCAGGGCTGCTGACCCCCTTGTTAAATCAGTTTGGACATGCATTAACAGCCTTGGTTTCATTGCAAAATCTCTTTGCTGCTACCCCTGAAGGTGAGTTGTATGAATCATTCTTTGCTACTCTGGAACTGATTTTTCCTCTCATCGTGCATTCTCTCTACAGTAGGCAGCAGCAGGACAGAAAGACCAGGGGTCCGCACAGGGCATCTCTTCTGAGGTGAGCTTGGGGCAAAAGATGGCCTAATTGGTATTCAGGTACCATCCCCGCATGAATGGCAAGTTCTTTTGAAAAGTGGCTACAGAGACAATCTTTGCATTTAGAAACATCGAATCTTAGTCCCAAAGTGAATCATCTGAGAATAATGCTACAGATAGGTCTGAAACTTGATGGGTAGTTCTCATACAAAAGATCAGCTCTGCCTGGAGTTCAGATAAAAGATCACACTAGCTAATTTAGATAGGAATGATAACTTTCCAACTGGGGTAACAGATAAATGCTTCCAGAAACAGCTTCTTTAGGCAATGAAGCCACAAACGGCTGCCTTCAGAGAGAAGGGAGAAATGGTAGAAGACAGAGAAGAATTTAGGTCAGCCAGAATGGGGCCCTCAAAAAGTCAAGTTCAGGAATAATTTAGCAGATAGGGATCCAAAGAATATGTGGTTTGCCTGACAAATGACATTCACTTTGAAAGTGAAAATGAAATTGGAGAAAGCAAAATTGCTGCATAATGGGTCCCGGAGATTGTCGAGAAATAATACCAGAGGAGAAAGCAGTTGTAAAACCTTCCTGGTTAAGCACAGAATTGGAATGTATGAATTTTGGTCCATAAAGGGTCAGGTAAAGATCACACAGATAATGGCTTAATCCCAATGAGCTCCAAAACGACGTTCATTAGCGGAGGATCTCAAGCTCTTGACAAGCATGCCTGACCAGACTCATGCTGCCTTCTTTCAAAAATTGCTCATTTTCGTACAACTCTTTAGCAGAATAAGACCACTTAATTTAACAGTTAAGACAAGGAAAGATGGAAAAAGACTTTTACCCTAGATATCAAGGGGCCTTGAAAGAGCTGGGATGGCGGGGACGTGGGGGAAGATGATGTGCCTTGGAACTGAAGAAGCACTGTGGGCTGGCAGAATCTTGCCCTTACAAAACATGGATCCTTGGCCACATGGATTTCTACCTAGGGACATCTAGGCTTCATTCCTGGTCTAATGAACGACTCTCTATGAGACTATCACACTAGTCACTTTATCTCTGTGAAACTTATTCCATCGACTTTCAGGACCAATACAATCATATCTATGGACTCCTCTGCACTTCATAGAAATAAAGGTTCACACAGTGCTTTCATTGACATTGGTTTTGCAGTTCACCTTACAATAACTCTATAAGGTGACATGACTAGCTTTGTTTTATGGATGTGGAAACTGAGGCCCAGAAATGTTAACTGATATGTCTGAGGTACAGAGCTAAGTGAAAGAACTAAAACTAGAACACAATCTGATTTTAAATAAAGATCTTTTTCTATGACCCCACGGCTTTCTATTGAATGAGAAAGAGAAGTATGTATAATTTTTCTCGGATATAGTATGCTGTGGTAAAGATCATGGGTTGTAGAGTAAGCCAGCTTGGATTCATGTTCTAGCTTTGTCACATTCTAGTGGTATCCCTTAGTTCTGGAAACCTTAATATCCTTGTTTGTTAAATGGGGATCAAAATAGTCCTTGAGTCAACTGAGATTGAGATTAGGATCCAACGTCCACAGTGTTTGGTGTCTCACATAGCAAATGCTTCATGAATGGAAGCTTATAGTTGGCCATGAGAATGTGCTGCTGAAAAGCTTAATGGAAAAGTAACTAGGAGGGATGGCTCTGAAGTCAGATACCATGGGTTTGAATTCTGGCTCTGCCATTTATTAGATGAGTGTCCTTGAGAAAATGATTTAACTTCTTTAAGCATCAATTTTCTTATCTGTAAAGCAGGGTGAAAAGATGATCATGTGGCTGCCTGGGCTCTGAGCCTTGTTGGGGGTAGCCCTTTCAGGTGTGTGGGGAAACAGAAGGAAACAGTGTGAAGGGCGTTTCAAGGAGTGCAGAATCCCGGAGTCAAACAGACATGAGTCACTTCCCAGCTCCATTTCATGCTAGTTGGATGACTCTGCTTTTTGGAGTACTAATCTTGGCCAATATAGGAATCTTGGCCATTGCAGAGGAGACTTCTGGGAGCTCAGGTGAAATAATATATGTGAAAACATCTTCCTATAAGACACAGACCTTGCATTGGAATGGAAGGCAGGACATCGCTTTTATTGTGAACCAATCGTTTCACCAGGAGTAGTAGTAACAGCCCACCATGACACTGTCCAAGAGCTGGCCTCCAAAGAATCTCATCTTACTTTTCCTGTGAGTCACTAATTACCCACTCAGAGTACACACTGATAGAAACTCTAAATGGTAGAGTAAGCTTTAGACATGCAAACTGACATTTTTCTCCTCTGCATTCTTTTCTTTTCCATTTGTGCCTTCTTGTCTCAAAGAGGTTTGTGATAGAATAGAAAGCCAGAGTTGCCTGCTAAATGCTTCCCCTTTTGTTTTCAAAAGCCTAAACCCACTGAAGAGATTATGCCCAGGGACTTTGAGTCAGGGGGCAAAAAACAACTATTACTAAGGGAAACCCTAAACAGAGATCAAAGGAGGGATCTATGAAAATCAGGTAAAGGAGAGAGGTCATTGGATAAGGTGAGAAGTGGACAGTAGCCTTTCATCCTGGTAGACATTAGAGGAGAAGGACTGCATGGTTTCCAGACTTCATATATAGTACTTTGTCCCAGAAACAGCAGAAACAGTGAACTCAAAGGGACCACATGCAGTTGGGCAGTGGTTGTCTTAGTCTGACCAGCAGAAACTGATAACTAATGATTTCAGGTGTTCGGAGGCATTTCATTTGCATAATCTCTTCAACTAGCTATTTATTCAAAGCAAAGTGATTCGTTCCATATTCAGTTCTTCTACCATGACATCACAG